ATAATCTATACATGTAGCTCTAATGAAATTATGAATTATATATTTAATCTTTATTTTTATTAGACTGTGTGCGTGTGTGTGTGCGCGCGCGCGTGTATGATGTGTAAAAATCAGCTATAAGGCATTGTTTATGACAAAAACTACATCTATCATTTTGCAATTTTCACAATAGTTAATGAAATATTAATTTCTAAAATTGCTGAATAAACGGATAAAATCACACAATGAGATAATTTTAAGATAATTTGTGAAGATATTTTGATATTTTGAAGATGTTTCTTAAAGAACTTTTAAAGATATCGTAAAGTTATCTTATACGTCGATTTTAGACATTTTGCATTAAATAACTAAAAAAAATTGCAAAAATTGCAAAATGATTCAGAACTTTTTTCAGTTTTTGATTAGGAATAACGCTATATGATTAGTGAGTGCTTTTTGAATACACTTTGTGTACATATGTGTGCGTGTATATGCATGTGTATGATGGTCAAAATGAATGATTAAATCAGTTTTATCATGGGAAATGAATATTTCACTCTCTTTTACGCGTGACCTCTTATGCTCTTTCTAATGCAATCACTAATTCATTTTTCATGATAAAGAACTGGTCTAACCATTAATATTTTTTACATAATTTTTATAATTATGTAAGAGATACAATTGAAATATATGTTTGTATGATAATCGCACCAATTACCGCATATTAAGTATATACTCTTAATTATCTGTTTTTTATTATTTGTTTAATATCTCAAGAGCCCAACTTTAATTATTCGCTTTTCCATTAATATTTGTCCTCTCTCTACGCGCGCGCGTGTGTGTGTGTGTGTGTGTGTGTGTGTGTAGTGTGTGTACATACAGAGTGTCCTATTTTAAAGGATCCACTCAAATATTTCAGAAATACTGCGATAAATCGAAAAATGTTCAGACAAAAGTTATGTACTTCGAGGGGGACATAAAATGGTATCATTGATTTGATCTTGAGTGACGTTCAAGATCAGTGAGTATAAAGTGACTTTGAATTTTTTAAATCATATTTCCCCATTTTTCATTAGATAGATTCTTGTAGCTTATCTCGAAAGCTTTCCAAACATAATTAAGTTCATTTTCATTAGGTACTTTCGAATTATAAGGCAACTTACAGCACTGCCGGCATTAGCATTATCTAAGGTGTCTAACTGATGGCTAAAACCTCTTAAATGTTCAGCATCATGATCTGGATAACATTTGTCAAGATCAAGATCATTAGAGATTGTACTTCTTATTTTCATTTTTATATAAAAATGAATTCTTAGCAAAGATGAAAGTAAGGGAAATAATCTCCAATGGCCTTGACCTTGAACAAATGTTATCCAAGACATGATCCTGAATAATATTCAAGAGCCGTCGGCGATATCTTGCGTAATGCTGTCAGCGGTATTGTAACTTTCGAGCCTTACAATTCAAAAGGTACTCAATGAAAAATAATTTTATTGTTCTATATTGAAAAATTCGACATCGGCTATTAGATTTTGGAATAAAAAATTGGGTTTTATTTTAAAAAATCGATATGACCTTGATCTGATTGGCGATGCCACCTAAGATTGTGATAAGATCAGTAAATAGATCTTTTTAAACCCTACAACTTTTGTCTGAACACTTTTACGGTTGGACCTTATCCTGCGAATAAAATCCTGCGATAAAAAGGTGGACATGTGTGTGAGCCAGTAACTCTATCCACTTAGAATATTTCTGTTTTTTTCAGATATGAAATAATATATTTTTCAGATATGAAATAATATATTTATTGGAGTTGTATAACGTGAAGAGAAGTACAACATACTACTAATTTTTCTGTGATTGGAGGCGTTTAGGAGATTTCAAGATCACCTCCACTTTTTTTAATTGTATGATTTTTTTTATACAATATGATTTCTCTAATTATTCTGCATATAAAAGTATTAAGGTAGTAATATCAAAAATCATAAAATAGTTTACGAGATATTTTATACTTTATTTTGGCATATATTGACATGAAATATTAAATAATTTATATTAATTTTTTTATAATTATACCTTAATACTTTTATGTACAGAATAATGAATCAATTGGTAGAAAGAAAACACATGGTTCTTTTAAAAAAATGTGTGCAAAAAGGATAATTTTTTAAATAAATAACTATTATAGTTTTTTGATTTCACTATCTTAAACTTTTATATGCAGAATAATTAAAGGAACATATTATATAAAAAAAAAATTATAATTCCATTTAAAAAAG